CTTTGGCAGCAGCAGCAGGAGTTGGGTTCTTGTTTCCCACTCTATACATGCAAGCATATAGGGAGGACAGTAGAAATGTGATGAAGAAAGAATGGCATTAATCTCATCTCTTTGACATAGCCACCAAAAAAGCCACCTTGACAGAAGTGGGGAAGAACTCTGTCCCTTTAAAAAAAGCTGTAATAAGCTATTTTCCACTGGAAAAAATAAGCAAAACCCAACAACCAACCAAAAGAACCAATGGCAGGGCTAGGAGTAGGGAAATTAAGAGTCCTATTTCTTTTCGGAACATTTTCCCTAACTGGAAAAGTCTGATTTCCAGGCCAGAGTGGCAAGAAAGGGCTCAGGGGCATTTGGTTATACCTGAAGTTCTCCACTGTAATCATGCAGCGTAGACATGGTCTAACACATGTGGGCTGCAAATGGTAAAATATATTTTATAATCAGCAATTATAGACAGTGATTATAGCACTCCTTGAAACCTATTACTGAGATTTTTTCTGACAAAATTTTAAAAAGTTCCAAGCGTTCTCCTAGAAGACTCTGCATTCCATTCTGTGATTAGGTAAGAAAACTAGGTTTAATGTCCAGAACCTTTCCCCAGTGCCTCATTCTAGACTCCCCTGGGATTAAAACTCTGTCTAGCCTATGCCAAGCCCTGACAGCTGGGCTCATTTCTCCCATAGCAGAACAAGGCAGGGGATGGGGCAAGGCAGTTCATGCTTTCTCCCTATCTTAAAAATCAGTCAGTCAGTCCATGAGGGCATCTCTAAGAACCAGCCCAAGTCACAGCTGTATGGGGCCAAAAAGGATGGAACAGGATTGTATCAGCAGTGGGGAAGGGGCTGAAAGCTATATTCAGAGGCCTGTTGGAACACAGTAACATCAAAGCAACATCACAGGCTACAGCAAGGAGCTGGTTTATACAGTTTAGTCAGTTGGATTAGACCCTTCATTAGGATGCTAAACAAACCCCTTCTTCTTGGCAGACAGGAGCCAGAAACACAATAAAAATGGAAATCAAATCTAAGTCCTGAATTCCCTATTCAGCACAAGTTCCTTTTATTTGCATAGGAACTTTAGTTTGCCTGGCTTTGTTTGAAATAAAGGTAACAGGAAATTTCAGGGCAGGATGAGGTCAAGGTCTCATGCTTTGGGGCCAGCAAGGCCTGGGAGGACTCTTAAGTCAGAACACCCTGTCCTAGGAGGAGGACAAGCAGAGGGGGAGAGCATTTGCCATGGGGTACCAGCCGTACCATATCCCTACAGCTGCATCTTCAGCAGGCAAACTCAACATTGAGACTTTGGAAAAGACCTTTCTTAGTTTGAGAAGAACAGGTAGTTGTCACGCTGTACAGAGTCATTTACAGTCTGATACTTGAGTGGATGCTTTTTAGTGTGCAGAGCACAAGGACAGGACCACTAGTTAGCTTGTTACTTTTCCCTAATGTGCATCTTTTGAGGAAGTTGCTGCTGTGTTTCACGGTATTGCAGACTAAGAGAACAAGATAATCTGGTTTGGGTTTTTTTTAATGTCTCTGATTGCAGGATTATTTGCATTAAAATGCACAGAGGTCAGACAGAAAAGGCTAAGTTTGACCTTAATCATGTCAGCATGGCTAAGGGGTCACTGGCAGGAATATGCAGGTATACTGCAAATTAAGTTTAAAATCAGAAAGAAGCCCAAGTATTTAAAATAGGGATTAGTTTTCTCTAGTTACTGTATCATCATAACAAAGCATGCTTATGTGTAAGAAGGTGTTTGTTGCTGGTCTCTAGGACTTGTCTTCATTGTGTTTTAGGGCAGATGAAAGAAGGAAAGATCTCACTATCAGTTAGCATTTGCTTTACAAGTTCATACAGATTTTTTTTTAAAAAAAAAAAAAACAGTCTCTGGAGTGAAATCAGATGTATTTAGATAAAATATTTCTTGTCCTGAAACAGGACTGACTGAAATATTAACAGCTGTTAGAAAGATACATGCCTGCATGTCACTTCATGCCTTTAAATCAATATATTAGCACCTCAAATTGTAAACAAAATTTCCTGACTGCCACAGTAGAAGAGAAAAAAGACTGCTAGTTACAAGCCCAGGGGCTTTTAATTATTTTATTAATATTGTAAATTGTAACTGACGGAGCAATTACGGTGGAATATTACCCCAGGAAAGCAGCTTGACCAATGTTGATCATCCAGTTAAATAGATAGAATTTAGTTTAACAGAGGAAAAAATAGGTTCCTTGTGGTTTATCTCATTAAGGTGATTTCCATAATTCCAATAGTGATTCGCACATCTTTAAAACCAAACTTGGTAACAGACAAAAAGACACAGATGCATTGGGATGATGAGCGACCTAGAAGAATTCTGATTCTGTCATGAAATGTCCATGCTGAATTTGTTTAATTTGCCCTTAATTTATTTCTCAATGAGATAATCCCACAGTCTCTCTTCCTCTGAAGTATGTCCCTTGGATTTCTTTAAAACCCTCATATCTGTCTGGGTACCTTCTGTTGCACCACCTCAAATCTTCTACATGCACTTAACATTAAGGGGCTGTAATTTTCTTCTCTTTTACACTGACTTTTTAATCAACATAAATCCATTGGTTTTAATGGGATTACACCTGACTTGCTCCAAGAAAACCAGACTGAAAGAATCAGCCTCATAGTGTCCAAATAGTGTCCTCATATTCAATATTCCAAAAGTGACCATTTTTTGATTGTTTTTTGCAGAAATAAATTTATTTCCCTTGGCTCCACCTCACAAGACAGCACTGTTGCTGCAGGACCTAACAGACAGAAAGATTCTGAGATGACACGATCTCCCTTTAACATTTAAACTGCAATGTTGTTTGGGAAACTACACGACTAATTTTTAAAGAATTACAGCCACAGATATTTTTTCCAGTTCTTCCTTTTCTATTAAAAAACAAATAAAACTTCAATTTTCTGCCTTTTTCCCCCCATATACTGGAAAATACTGAAGATACATTTTGGCAAAACTGAAGGAAATATCTTAAGAAAAAACTTTTTTGAAGCTAGAGAGAACAGAGATTTGCTATGCTATTTTCCACTGTGAGGTTTGCTATTCACATACAAGAAAAAAAAGCCAACCTTTATCTATGTTATGGAATGCAGCAGTATAGGTGCTGGAAAAAATATTTCTTAGCATAAGCAAGAGGCAAGCATACAGCCACAAATATCATAAAGTAAGAGTATTTTATCCACCTCAACTGTTCTTTCACAAATCAAGCTACAGGATTCCTGTCAAGTTTATAATCTTACCATATGTATTTTAAGCATCTCCTCCCTTTTATTCTGTTACTACCTATATCTTCATTGCTTACAATAAGACAGGTCTCACCCTATTGTTTTTCTACTACCTCCTCTGTTCTTTGCTCTGTGTGTTGCATGGGTGAAGTTTCTACACTGGAATTACAAAAGAAAACTAGTAAAAGAATGTGAGCTTAATTTCTTGCCTTGACTGTAGTGTAGAGCCTGCCAAAACGACAGTTGAGGTTTGCTGGAAATCTAATGTATTTGAAAATTAGGTTGGTTCTGAACCAGAGAGGAATCTTTTCTTTTTAACTCTCTCCTAAAGACAGGAACAACACGTAATCTCACTGAGCAGTTGCAAAGAGCTCGGGAGTTTCCAGTCCCTAAATGACCCGCTAAACAACTGCTGACGGGAAAGAGGCTGTTAGCAAAAGAGACAGCCACATTAGCCCTGAGGTCAGGAACCCTCAATTTTCAGCAACCACTTCCCTACAGAAAACACCAGTATGCAGTCTGGCAGAATGTGGCATGCTGTTCAGAACCAAAAATTTTCAGGCTTATAGAAAATGTAAAACTATCTCTCCTCTGGCCTGCTGGGAGAAAAGTCAAGTCTTATGAGCTAGTTCTGAATCTGTAGAAATCAAAAGTCTTTTATCTCAAAATGATCCATGCAAGGAGGTACCATGACACTATGATTTAACTCTCCTGATGAAGCAAAAGCAATTCTAGGAGGCAAATCCACTCCTGACAGCGGCACGTATGGGGAAAAGATTTTGAAGTAGTGAGGTTTGGTGTATATTGGCTGCTCTGACATAGAATTGAAAACTCCAGAAGCAGGCAAGGTATTGTGTGCCTTACGTCCAGACTAATGCCACAGCAGGGCACAGTAAGCCATGCTTTCTCTCTTGGGCCAATTATGATCCCAAGTGGATTTCACTAGTGTTACTGAAAACCTCCAGGGTCCGATGGAGCTCTAGCTCAAGAACTTCAAATATTGCACAATGCTCCTTTCAGCTAGCCATGATACAGCCTTTATCATAGCATATAGTGTATAATTCTTGCTCCTTCTTGCTGTTTCAAGCCCTGTTAGATGAAGACATTTGATCAAGCATGAAGAATTAAATCACTAGAACAGACATTCATAATTTGAACTCATTTGAACCCAGTTATTTTACAACTCACTGGACCAGACAAAACCAGGTATACGATTATAAGTATAGTAAGGACCACCAACACAGATATGGACAGAATCTACCCTTTTTCATTTGTTTTGATCCCCAGTTTCTGTCATTCATGGTGCCAAAACTCTACCTTTCAGGTGCCTGTGGGGGAAGACAAACTTCCTAGGACTGACTCTGGCTAGAGTGTCAAGCACAGGGCTCAGCTGGGGTACGTACTTTTAGAAGAGAACAGCTGATCCACACAATGAAAATACCAGGCAGGTATATCTCTGTCTGATAAGGCTAGTCAATTACAAGATTTCTTCTGTACTGTTTCCCTGCTCCAATTCTGGTTTACCTTTCTACACATAAAGTTCCAGAACTATTCAGTGGAAATCTTCACAAACTGCAAGCAACATGTCTTTAAAAATGTCACAAGAAGCTCAGTGCATTCTCTGGCACTGTGACTGACCTAACCTACATCTCAATGACACTCCTAACGCTTAATGGCTTGCATGAGTGATGACCCTGGAGGCTGGTCATACACCCAGTGCCTGTACTCACAGTTTTCACAGCGATTCCCTGTATAGCCAGCCAGACAGGCACATTTGTAGGTACCACTTTTGTCTAGAATGCACGTTCCATCATGAAGACATGGAGATGAAGAACAAGCTATAAAAGAAAAGCAAGAATGTTCATGGTTTCTCATAGGATTTTCTTCCTCGTGATGGTTGTGTCTTGGGGTAAATTACACATTCTGGTTAAAAGTTAGGAAGACACAGGAAAGGGCCTAATGCATGTCAAAAAGCCTTCTGCTTTTCTTTCTTACTTACCGGAAAGGGGATCTTATAGGGATGGGCAGCTCTTTTCCCAGCATTCATCACTTACTCTTACTATTTTCCTTTAACTGTGGTGAGAAAGCTTTGTGGAAGAAAAATAATTTACAGCAAGCAAATGTTTAGAGCTTAGTCTAAATTAAAGAAGTTTAATATCAACCTACATTTCTCCTGCCATTCATCCCAAAGTTTAGGGATAAGTTCTGGGATCCATGGTTCCGGTGCTTTTTTTGGGTCTTAGATCTTGTCATCCCGGACTTTGGGAGTTGCTTTACCACTGAGGAGCACTTACTTGGTGTTGGGTTCAGGAAGCTCTGAATGCTTATGATGACCCTAAGTCTTGCACACTACAAATCTAGCAGTGATACACATCAAACTCTACATATTAGCATAAATTATCAGAATTGCATCATTTAATACCAGCAAATTCCACTATGCAATAACACACACTTTCTTTTTGTGCCTGCTCTAAGGGGACATGAGTGAGTAGAACATAATTTACTCTCAAAAATACAAAGAAATCATTTCCGCTTAGATTATTTTCCAAACTGAGTGCAGGTTTTAGCAAACAGAATGTAGAGCCAAAATCTCAAGATTTAGATCCAGTTTAAGATTCAAGTAATTCCAACACTTGAGGAGTTCAGGATCTGATGCCCTGCTTCAAGTCGATTTTAACAAAATAAGACCGCAGCAAAGTTCACATCTGGATTCATACCAGAAGTTGAATTCAGTTTCAGCTCACATTGACTACAAAACATTTTCCTTGCCATCTTAAAGCATGCTTGATAACTTACAGATTAAACTTTGAAATTGTAATTGCTAGAAAGGTCTGCATTCTAATTCATTTACACATCACCTTTGTTCTTCCATGCTAAATACACTGATTATTTTGGTTATAACAGAATTACGAATCTTCGTACCAAGCCACTAAGTGTTGCAACTATGAGCAACCAGCCCTGAGGGACCTATGGTGAAGTTGTGTTCTATTACATTTAAAGCATTCACTCTGCCGCAGTCCAGAATGATAGATAACAGAATCAGCAGTTTTTCTGGCAAAAACTTCACTTGAAGCATAATCTTTGAGTCTCTTATACCCAGATGGCAAGAGACAAGAAATGTGTAGATGCCACATATGGATTTCTCTGGAGGTTTCATGTGGTGATGTAACAGCAATTCATACATGTCTGGGCAAAAAATATCTTCCAGGTGTCATTGAAGACTAAGGTCTGACTAAGGACACTAATTCATATATGGTAATTGTACTGTATCCAACTAACGTAAAATATCACTGAGAAAGGGAAGGAGAAGCAGAAGAGCCTATACAGACTAATATTTTGTAGTCATTGGTTTGAAGACAGTGAACTTTCAGCTTTGTCCTTACCCTGGGTTTGTCTCATGATTCTGTAAAAGTAAGCATGTCAAGTGAACAAGGATACGCGCCAGATACTCTCCTTGAAAATGCCTGATACTCAAGAGCACTAAGTATTTTTCTTTTTAAAGGAGTCTTGATTTCCTGGCTTCAGTCAAACAACATGGGACAGTATTACAAAAGGCTAAATCCCCTATGTTGTGTCAAAGATCACTAGCTTGGGAGCACAGAAAGTAAAGCGTTATTGAAATTCAATAACAGGCTTTCATCTAACTATATCCAGCATATGTATAATCCCTAAGAGACCCTGATGCCTCCCCATCTGGCATCCTTCTCATATGAAGTCTGTTGAGTGACTTCTAGTCATTCATGCCAATTACTAGTTCCTATTTGACACTTGGCATGGGATGGGACCTAACATCTGCTTCTAGACCAGGCAGCGCAGCAGGTTCTGTGGTTTCATCCTTTAATAACTACACATGCAGTGACCTTTCCTAAAAGGGATATAGGCTTTGCAGCTTATTTTGTATCAATTAAAACCTTTCTGGCACTTGAACCAGTGACCTCTGTGCAGTCAGCGCCACTGCTCCAGCAAGCTATGGCTTATAAGCTGGCACACAGCTCAGAGGAAGGGAAGACAGAAAGGGAAGGAACTTCGTTCTGACAGCACAAGATGCTTCTTCAGTCCTCTCCATTACATCACTAAGGTGCTGGGGACATCAGATCACACCCACGTCCTGGTCCACATCCTGTACGCACCAGTGCTGCTGCTGCTCTCACCTACAGAACAGGGAATTGCTGTAGCAATCCTTGTGCAATCTGTTCCAGGGACCTCGGCTTTTCCACAGTGCTGTGCATTTCAGGGGAAATGCTTCAGTTTGCAATGCGCTGCCAGAGCTTTCGATCCTGTGCTGCCCCCTCTTTCAATTCTACACTGCCCCATGCACGCTGTATTCTTCCCCTAAACTGTCCTGCTGGCCAGGTTACTGCTTCACAGAAAAAGACACTAGGAGTATTTTAAAAGCCTTTCACTGCAGCTACACATTAGGCCAGAACAGCCTCATAATAAAGTACACAATAAGACCTCCTCACAAACTCTAAGAAGCCCTTTGCAATGTGCTCTCTGTGGATTACCACACTTGCAGCTACTCAGCCTCAGAATAATTACCACTAAAAATGGAGCAGAAATAAAGTGCTCAACAGTATTTGAATACCAAGTATTCCCTGCTGGGCAGAGAAAACAGAATCAATTCAGCTTGCACCATATGGAAAATGTTAGTTGCCTGAGTGTAGGCAGCCCTTATGCAACACAGCCCACACCACATTTATTTGTTCTATATCACCTCTCCTGCTGTAAGCCCAGGCAAACTATCAATAGCTAACTGTTCCTGCTACGTTACTAACAGGTACTAAAGGTAACCTTTGAAGAACAGTGCAAGCTAAGAAATGGCATAAGCACTGCATCCAGCAGTATGCACATTTCAGATTGCTAGTTACACCACTCATCATTGTTAACAGCTGATCCATTGTACGTCTGTGTATTTATATAAGGATTATATAAACTAACTAAAATTCCTAAGCCAGATATACCATCCATGACTTCATGAAATGTGGGTCACCAGGGTGTGCGGAAGGCAAGTTATGGTGAGTTATAGATCCTGCAGGGTTTATCTGTGGCAAAGCAGCACACTCTGATTAGCCTTCTGTGCCAGGAGTACTGCAGATACATTTGATGAAAATGCCCTATGTAGCTAAACAAGGAAGATCCAGGAAGAGTATGCTTGAAATGCAATGGCAAAATGAGAAGCCAGCCACACTTTCAATGTTATTTTGCAGCCAGAAAGAAATGATGGAAAACAGTGTGGGGGACCCAAGCACTGAGGAATCCTGGAGCCCTGCTTCTGTCATTCATAACTCTGAGTTCATCACAGAGAGGCAATTGCCTCTTTTCTTTTTTTTTTCTTAACGGAAATAATATGTCCTTTGTACACACTTTTTTAAAAAAGCCCTAATGGTATGATACATGAGCCAACACAAGAGTCATGTCAGGGCATTTTCACTGAGCTAATTATGAGGCTTCGCATCAGGTTTTTGCTAATTGAGACACTGACTCTGCTCCTACACGCAGCACTGAGTAATTCTGCAATTGCAGATACACATGCCCCTTCCTCTACTTCCTTCTGTGCTCTTAGTTCTCAGATTCAAACAGAAAAGTCTTACAAAACAGCCGCTTTTCTGTATTGGCTGATGTGCTTATTCTGCACACAGGTAGAAGGAATTCAATTTTGTTAGAAGAGCCTCACATCTGCATGCCATCTGACGGCTTTTGAATCTTCCCTGCACTGACTTCATCTAAGTTGCTGTTGGCAACACAGCATGAAAGCTTTTAATGAAGGAAAACAGGGAAA